ATTTATTTTTATTTAAGTATTATTTATTTAAAAACTGCTTTCATTCCAGCCAAATAAAAATAATTAAGTGTTTTTCTATAAGAAAAATTACATTGCAAAAAACTGTGAACATGTATGATGCTAAGCATCACTTGAGAATATTTTGAAAAATATATATATATATTTTACAGGAGAGCCAATAAATATTTTAATAAAATGTCTGAATTGACATTACCAGTCAAAATTTTGTGGTCAGTTTTTTTTCAAAATTACAAAATTGTTGTGTTCATCAAGGTGACATTTAATAAATGTAAAATAAATTGTTAAATATTTGTTACAATTTAAATAACTGCCTATAAAACATCTTATTGTATGTAGTTTCAAATGAAATTATTACTATTATTGCTTTTATTACTAGTACCATTGATAATAATAATATTAATAATAATAATTACAACAACAATAATAATAATAATTAATATTAGAGTGATTATGAAGGATCATGTGACTCTGAAGACTGGAGTAATGAACCTGAAAACTCATCATGAAAATCACTGGAATAAATGATTAAATTAAATGATGAACTACTTTTGTTACAGATATTTACAGTGCAATAACACTTCACAATTATTTTTGATGTTTGAATTTTTTTATTTTATTTTTGATTAAATAAATGCAGCCTTGGTGAGCAGGATAGGCTTATTTTAAAACATTTTAAATCCTACTGACCCAAAATTTTGACCGGTATTGTACATGTATACTTATTACAGCACATACACCTATGGAAAAAAATAAGAGCACTTGAAAATTCTTTTTTTTTTTCAGAAACTGACAATTAATCAAAATAACAAACTTTGTTGTGGTTGTTGTTATGATTAAAATGTCTACAAACATGGCACCTTTTTTCTTTTGTTTTTTGTTATTTTGACCAGTTGTCGCATTTTATTTTCTAAATAACAACATCTTTGTCTTAAAATTTAAGAAACATTTTATCATAAAGGGTTTGCAGAACAAAACAAAACAAATATTTTACCCAAACATGTTTCATTTTTGTAGAAATGATCCGTTAAGCAGGATGGCAATGGAACATTATTGATCATTCATTTATATTTTGATTATAAGTTGATACTTTTTAGTATGTTTACTTTATTAATTTTTATTTTCATTTAGACATCATTATACATTATTTTATATCAAAAAACAGTCAAAAATACTGTTTGAATATATATTTAAATAATAAAATATTGCACATTTATATGTGATCATAAATAGATGGACAGACAGAGACAGACTGGTAGATGGAACCTGTCTGTACAAAGTCTAGTACTTTCTAGTATTGTCTCTGTTCGCACTAAATAAAATAGTGAGTTAGCAGCTGTCTGATCTGATGAAATAAACTCATTCGTCTTTCACATGCAGAACATTTTTTATTTTTTTATTTATATATATATATTTTTCTTGCTCATCCATTTCAACAGTCAAAGGTGATGCATAGGTAATACTTTCCATTTGAAACCCCCCATGTGCAATCACATCCTTCAAAACACAGTAATTCCATGGGAAAACAGAACAAACTCCCACGGCGCTTTCACATCTCAGAGTCTCCCAAACTGATTACTCAGCCTTGATGTATTCTCTCATATAAACGCTCTTTCAAAAAGAGAAAAAATTATCATAATTTGCCACTAATTACAGATGTAAGAGTATAACTGGCACCTTAGCAACAGGATTTCTTACAGCCCATGTGTGCATTTCTAATGTTACCCCAGATAGAACATAAAACATTAATGGGGGCAGGATTCTTTGCAAGCTGGTGATGAAATTATGGTGTAACCTTTATCAATGTACCAGAGTCTTCATGGCAGCCAAGCAAGGATGGATATCACAAAACAGCTATTCTTACTGCAAATGTTGTTATGATGACAAATCACAAAGAATCAAATGAAGAAAAAAAAAAGTTGCTAAAAAATAAAACAGAAAATGATTTATTCTGCCAAATGTAAGCGGCATCAGTCTGCAGAAGGCTGCCGTTGATAGATATAGTGGGCATTGAAAATCTGTGAGAGACCTCGTTCTTCTTTATACATCTTCTTATAATGTATATTTTACAGTACTGAGACATGCTAATAAACTTTGTGCTGAAATGAGCTGAAACGTGGAGTGCGCTGGAAATGTTTTTTTATTTTAAACATTTTGTGTGCATAGATTGATCAACTGGAATCATAATATTAATAAAACACTGTAACAGAACGAGAGATGCAGAAAGAAAGAGCTGTTTTCACTTTGGCTTGGCAACAAGACAAGAGAAAGTTCAATCAGTTGTATTAGTTTCACACAGTGAGAAGTGTGCAATCAATCCAAGCATGGGGTCCTAGCAGAGCTTGAAGCGAATAGAGTGAAACAAATCAGATACGTGATCAAAAAATTCAAGCTTTTTGAAATATACATTTATCTTATCTTATTATAACTATCTTATCTTATATATATTTTATCTTATATTATTTTATTGCATTTATTACGGTTAAAGCATATTAATGCACATCGCAACAAAAGAAATGAAGCAAGTCACACTTTTCACATCACTTAATATGTTTTACACTAGGTTTATTTTATTTAAGGCATTGCATTGAGGCTTTTTCAATATTGGTCTGTCTTGGGTTCAAAAACAGCTATCAAGAGAATTAATTTTCCACTACTGTTAAGGGCCGGAAAAAAATATTCAGTTTATTTAGAGGGGCACATAGAGAAATCTGTAACATAGACTTATATTTGGATATATATTTGAACATATATGTACATATTTCTCATTCTGGTAGTTGAAATAAATTATGCATCCAGAAAAATTTAGAAATTCTGTACATATATTACATGAATTTTATTATATAAAAGTAAAATAATTACATTTAAAAATTCCAAACATGAACTGTTTTGTTAAATATGTTATTTGCTTAAACATAAATTTCTATATTTTATACATTTAAAGTTGTTAAAGTGAAATCCACTATTTAACAACCTATAAACATAACATATATAAACAGATTATATAAACGCACCTATTCGAAAGTTTGGGGTAAGTACGGTTTTTAGAATTCTTACTTTTTTTCAGAAAAACTAATATTTAAAAACCTGCAAACTTATAATATACAAACTGATAATATAAACACACCTTTTCAAAAGTTTAAGGTAAGTAAGATTTTTAGGATTCTCACTTTTTTCTTCTTCAGAAATGTGTATATATATATATATATATATATATATATATATATATATATATTTATATGTTCCAGAGAAATTATGAAATTGTGTACATATGACATATTTCAATATATAAAAGTTAAAAAAAATAGATTTTTTGGTAAATATGCAATTTGCGTATATTGTCGTCAGATTTCTATATTTTATACATACTGTATAAAATTGTAAAAGTGAAATCTATTATTTAACAAACTATAAACATTTAATATATAAACGGATAATAAATGCACCTATTCAGAAATTTGGGGTAAGTACGATTTTTAGGATTCTTACTTTTTTCTTCTTTAGAAAAAACATATATTAAGCATCCAAAGAAATTATGTACATATGACATTTATTTCAATATAAAAAAGTAAAAAAATTAAATGTATAAACTTTTTTGTTTATTTTTTCTATAGTTTATAAAGTTTAAATTGTCAACGTGAAATCTACTATTAAACAACCTATAAACATAATTGATATGGTGCTTAGCATAATTGAGTACACCACATTTTGAAGATGAATATTTCTCAGTGAATATAGGCAATGCATTTTGGTGCATTTGAACAAAACAATAAAAAGATAATACAATTAAATTCAAGCAAAAAATTGCAAAGAAATTACAAACTATAACATTTCAATAAAATTGTATATTTTTTTGCTTCTCTTGATTTTTGCTTTTTTTGAACATTTTATTTAATATTTTCCCCTAACATATAAATTCGGGTGTACTAGTTTTTGGACCATTATCATAACTTAATTTGTTAGATTAGCTCCTGATTTGGCTTCAGTGCTGACTAATCTAATGTATATGCACAAATATAATGTTGTAAAGCTTCCATTAGAAAATATTGATTTAAATGAGAGATTTGTGAGGGGTGTACTCATTTATTTTGAGCACTTTAAACATAAAATAAACACACCTATATAAAAGTTTGTGGTTAGATTTTTCTAATTCTTCAGAAAGCCATTCTATTGTGAGATATTATTATACTTTACTTTTAACATACTTTAAAATGAAAATATAAATTTTACAAAAAATTGTTTGTATTATCATACAATTAGCAGTTTTTGTTATATTTTGAGAAAATAGCTCAAAAACACACTTCAAACTGAAAATTTAGATTAGATAATATTATTATTATTATCACTTTTTCTCAATTTATCCATTAACTGCATTCATGCTGATATTAATTTCTTTTTCAATAAGAGTAAAACCATCAGATGCATTTGAAATTAAATCTGACAACTTACTCTAATCTTTATACAGTCCACACCTGTCTAAACATATCCAACAGCTACAGAATAAATATAGTTTTACACTGTAAGACAGAATTCACCCACACACAGCTTTGAACTATATGTTTGAAACCAACTTACAAAACCACAGCCAGAGCAACAAATACATGTGTAATTGGACTTTTGACAGAAAAAAAGAAAAGAAAAACGTTATTACAAAGAAACAACGTTTGTGACAACTTCCCAGTGTGACAACGAGCCCCGGCCTCATACTACAGGAAACAGAAATATACTGCAAATCAAAACAAACTAATGAGTGTTTCCACAGCAAAAGTCTTGCCTTTTTCCCCTTTTTTCTTTTGCAAACAATGGTCTTAAAGATGAAACCTCATTATACATGTCCAAAGCATAAACGGATCAGGACAAATGTGGCAACAAAGTTTCAACTCGGGCAACACTCCAGCAGGTCTGATGCAACAGGGCTGCAACGAGAGTTACATCTCCATAGTGTAATATGGTGTCCTTCCTCGTCGCATGTGGTTAAATAGTGCTTCACAAGGGTCTCTGAGCTCAGATTCGGTGCTTAGATATACACCCAGGCTGGTTTAGTCCAACTGGACCAACTTTAATCAATATCAGAATTTACTATCATCTACATTTCAAACGGGATTGCATATTTCAACCGCGCACGCAGTCGAATTTAATGGAGATTCAACAGGAAAAGCATTGATCTCAACTGACCGAAGTGCGGACTCGAGGTTGAAGTTCGGACTGAACTTGTCCGGTCAGTTTGGACTCTGCGAGAGGGGCGAGGCGGCGGATGAATACTGGCTTATGTGATGCGGTCACTGTTTGGTTTGACGTGATACTCCTCTGTTCTCCAAAACTTTTGAACGATTTATCGTGTAACCGATCAGTCTCGACATCAAATGAAGAAGAGTGAGACAATGTTCTGCTAAATTGAAAACGTGAGCTTCTCCATTGCGGTTTACTGCGCTCACAGACGCTCTTCAGGACCGGACCACCTCAGCACGATGGAGTAAGTGTCAACTTCCATTCAGACTTTTAAATGAGCAGCAACTTCCTGGGACAGTGTAAATCTCAGTTTATCTAGTTTTTCAACAACTAGAATAACCTTTTAAAAGTCTCTAGAAATGTGGAAATTTATTTTAACTTTGTCTGAAATTGCATTTGTTATGACCGCACTGTGATTCCACATTTTTTTTTTTATTGTTTACAAGATTATTTTCAAGTGGAACATTGTAATGTTATTTTTTTCACTGTTTTAATGCCTTTGAGTTGATTTATAAGACACATTAAGGACATTTAAAACATGTCATTTAAAAAAATGTATAGTTTTATATTCATGTGTAATTTATGTAGTATAAACATGTATTTGATTTTTCAACCAGTCATCTTAGTCATTAATGTTAAAAGGCTTTTCTTTAGGCTCAGTTTCACATTTGGCTCTGAAGTTGACTGGAGGCATCATATTACAGGATATTAAATGAGCTCTAGCAAAAGGTCACATTCATTATGTTCAGTTTTTATGACTCTTTGGAGTTATTAGAATATTACCTTCTATCCCTTTTAATACAGCAAATTTGGTTAAACATTAAATGTAATTAATAATTTCCACAATTTTTTAGTAGGAAATTACAATTATATACATGAAAATGTATATATAATGTATAAATCTGAACTTGTGACTTAAACAATTGTATGAGCTTGTAAATTTTATTTTAAATAAATTAAAAAGGTGAAATGACAAATAAATTTCATTTTTTATGTTTTTTTTTCTTAGGTTTCAGTTTTTCTCATCTCTTTCCTGTATGAAGCATTTCTTCGATTCTCATGCATTGTACGCAATTCACCATTTGAAGCGAAATTGTGGCGGCATAGATTATCCTCAGGAAGACTCCCCTCATTTGCACAGCCGGCTTAAGAGCTCCCTCTTTCCTACTGGCTAACGAAGGCCAATCATAGGCGGAGGGAGGAGTCTGCACAGACGTAGGGCTAAATTGGTAAGCAGTACGACACTTTTATTTTGTCCGATTGTTGGTGGGAACCGCACTGCAGCGTATGTGTTAATGGCGTACAGTAAGTAAAGCAAATATTTTGGTGATCGTTTCATCTTTATTTATTTTTTTAAATTGCTTGCATATGTCGTTTAACAGAAAATTATATGGATGTTGCATTTGCGCAATATATTACATATCGCATATATATGTGTTTAACACACTTTTATTAAATTACTCGCTTTTTCTACCAACAGATTGGATGACAAAAACTTTTGACACTTACCCAAACTCAACTTCAACGGAATCGTCTCCTGGTTCCTCAATCCCACCTTCACCTCTGGAGCATGACGTCCAAATGCCCTCCGACTTGGAGGTTATGACCAATCTTCTCAAAGAGGAACTGGCTCAACTGGAGGATTATTACCTGTACGAATCGGCGCCTATGAAATTAGAGAAATGGCAAAAATGTGACAAAAGCTTACAAGCTATGGCTACGCAGTCATACTACCAGTTACCCTGCGCTTCATACAATGTAAACCAATCTGAAACAAATCCCAGGCTGGTTTCCCTGGCAGCTGGAGAGCTCGACTTGCGAGGCTTCTGTGGGGGTTCTGTGAACAGACCGAAAATGTCCAGACCTGCCCCCTACAGCTACATTCGGACACACTGCAACAGCCAAAGAATTTCATCGAACGGATGTAAGGACGTTGAAGTGTTTGAGAAAGAGACATGGACTTTTAAAGGGACTCATTCAGGTTACGCAGAGCTGGCTTTCGACCAATGCTCTGTCGATAAATCTTTCGGAAAGAATCACGGCAGTGCAAAGAAGGTTCGTGAATGTGCCATACTGTTGAAGGAAGAGGAAAAAAGTTGCTTCAGTGAAGATGTGTTTTACCGAGCGGAGATGATGAGAAGTTACGATCTGGCTGGGTCCCTGGAGCCCCACCACAGGAGAGAGAGTCAATGCCATGGGATGAAGATGCTCGGCCATGATGGGATTGCAATGCCGATTCTGCAGTGTGCCGAAAACGAGAGTTGCCCACCGCCATACAAGCAATCCGATGTAGCCGAGTGTTACTTCCATCAGATTACTGCCAATTTAGAGCCATATCACGGCTTCATGAATGAAATCGATCAGCCAATCAGAACTGATATCCAGAATAATGACTACTTGCACCATGAATGCCTTGGGGATCAAAGCTTTGAATGTCTGTCCGGTGACAGTGTTGGGTCCTCTTTGGAGTTGCCTGTCCAGAAACCACTACAAAGGTCACGGGAAAGTCAGTGTGTGTTTAAACCAGATGTTAAAGTAGGTGTGGAGAGAAACCATGGAGAACGCAAGCAGAAGAAGAGAGACCAGAACAAGTCTGCAGCCCACAGGTACTGTAGCCAATTTTTTTATAATCTACTTAGAGCTAGAGCGTTGCATGAGCTCATAAGAAAGCATGTTTACATTTGGGTTCATTCGAGCAGAAAAGCTGAACCATGTTATTTTATGTTACCAAAAAAAAAAAAAAACTCAAAATAACAATAGGTACCGTCAGCGTAAGAGGGCGGAGCAGGACTGTTTGGAGGAGGAGCTTCATGGTTTGGAAGGGCGGAACAGAGAACTTCGGGACAAAGCAGAATCTGTAGAGAGAGAGATTCAGTATGTGAAAGATCTCCTGATTGAAGTCTACAAGGCTCGCAGTCAGCGCTTAAAAGAGGATTCCAGTGCCTAAACCCACTATTACCAGCATTTCACCAATACCAGGCTCTGACAGCATGTTTTTATGCTCCAAATAGTATTACAATTGTTTTTTCCAAAGCGAAAGCCGCATGGGTTCCTGAACCTGAGAGCATAATATCTGAAGCACTGTGATGATAGCTTTGAATACATTCTAATGACCTAGCTTGGTATTTAAATTTACAGCGATATATTTAACGAAAAGCTGAATTTCACTTGGGACATTACACTTCTTTACCCCTGAGTTGTTTTTGTGACAAAATATGTGAAAGATTTTCTGTACAGACTCTCTCCGTTCTTTATTTACCATGAAAGATCATGCTTCAGTCAACCACGACATAATAATAACAATGAAGATTTGTGATAATGATCAAAATTTGTACTATTGTACTAATGCAAAGCACTGCAATGTAAATTGTCACTTTTTTGTTGTATTTACCCTTTTGCATTATATTTCTCCTTATTTGTGAAATATCTCATGTAATTCAATTTATAATACAGAAGAACAAGCGCTTCTGCAATTATATTTAAATTGCTTAAAAACATATTTCAAAACAAGGTTTATAGCATATTAATGACAGATTTTTTATAATTATAACTTTTTTTTGGCTCAGGTATGGAATGCATGTCTAATACATTGAAAAGCATGTTGGGTTACGATTTATTGCATGACCCAAAATATGAAATGAATGCTTTTGTGCATTATGACAATATGTAGAATTTTTGTTTCGGCCATTTCTTTTATTCTCATTAACATAGTGCTTTAAAAATATGTGCTTTTTTTTTTAAGTTAATGTATGTATTCAGTATGAGATATAGATTGTTTTATGCAGGTTTGCGGAAAACAATCACTGTTATTTGCTACAGGACTTTAAAATTCAAAAGAATTTGAAAGATTTTAATGTTTTTGACCAGGTGCACATTACTACAGTAACATTCTGTGCCTCTGAAAACAGACAAGAGTAGCAAATCTGAATGCATTTATTTCTGCAGGTTCTAATGTGTTTCAGAATCTACCGACACTTGATTAATAAATACAAATTATATTGTGCAGTAATTCTTATTTTTGGTTGATTAAAAATGTCAATAAATGATTCTTAAATATTTTATGAATTTTGTGATGTTATTGTGCTTCTTAAACACACATACACCTGCTGATGTGTTATATCATGACCTATCAAATAATTTATGTACTTTTTAGAATCAAAATATATATCAATTATTTAAAACAATTTCACAATTATCAAATAATACAAATGTATAAATATACATTGAATGAACCCGTTTTTTCTTTTTCCATTTGAAAAAAAAACTGATAAATACATTTTATTTAAATAAATTTTCTCTTTGGCTTCAAAATGTTATTAATTGCATGTATTATTATTATCAATAGTAGCTAATGACAGTATGTTCAGCATTGAGGCTAACGTCCGTACAATAATTTTCGTGTTTGAGACTTAACAGCACGCAGAAATTATTCATTTTAACAACAAGTTAATTCGTTATAACGTTAATTGTAATTTTACCTTCAAAGTTGTGTCATAAATGTTGGGGGCTGTAATGTGTGATGTGGCCTCACGATGGCATCAAAGGAATATATGAGACGGCAGGCAAACGACGGTCCTGTCCTGTTTGGTGAGTTGAGAGAAAACTATCCGGTTTATTTCAACCCAGGTCACAGCACTCAAGTCTTACAACATTCTTATGTATTACAATTGTTAATGTACGCTACACACAGTTCTTATCCCTAAATTGTTTCTATGGTTATTATTAAACGATTAATAGATTAACAGCGTGTTTACCTACTAAGCAATTTAAATGTAACTTACTAGCTTGCTAGCTGTCGTTTTCCTCCACATTTCACAAAAATATGTTCCAAAAAGAGCTTTTCGTGTCGACACGATTACAAAAAGAAAAAAAAAAGACGAGAAACAAAAGTGTTTGGATGAAACGAACCATTTAAATTCAGAATCTTTTTAAAGTTAATATTTTGTTCCACGGAAGTTTTTATGGAAGTTGATGTTGAAGCTTCAGGGAATCACCGAAGACAACACGTTTAGTTTTATTCTTTAGGAGTAAACGAGCTTTCGTTCCGAAAAGCTACTGAATCAACTACCCAGAACACTAAACATGATTTAATTACGCCATAATTACCCAGAATTCAGTCCATTGTTGATGTGGTGACAATTCAGTAAAAAAAAAAATAAATAAATAAAACATTTATAAACTACTTAACTGGCGATTTTTCTGGAATTCTACACTCAAAAAAAAAAAAAAAGAGTATCCCTGTATGGCTTGAACTACTACTGCTTATTTAAAATGGGCTGAATCAACATAATTCTTGACGATTTTTGGGACACCTTAATTTCTTTTATGTTCAATCCACTTAAATTTGTAAAAACAATTAACGTTAACTTAATCGATTTGTGTTGGAACAACATGAAGTAATTAAGTGGAATCCAGCATTTTTTTAAAGTGTACTTTAATTTGAGTTAACTAAACTGTTAAAATCCACCATTTTAAATAATGAATAATATTATTAGATACATTAAAATCACAAATGCAATAATTTTATCTTTAAATTTTTTATTCAGTTATTCTGACTTTACGGATTGCTACAAATTAATTTTGACACTGAAGTTTTAATGAACATTAGTGTTAATTTTACTTTAGGGGATGGTTAGGATATGACTGAGGGCCCAGTGTGATTTTAGAAAGCCAAGATTGACTATAAGGGGCCTGAGGCAATCTTAAATATAGGGAGTCTAATGCAAACACAATTTAATTGGTGTCTCAATTTGGCATGGGTCGGTTTAAGATTCTGACGATGTGATAACCTTGGGTAAAAATATCATGGTTTCATGATATCATGGTATTGTAAATACTGCTGTAAAATGTGTTTTTTTTTAAGTCTGGGTAAAAAACTACTTATTCCCCATTCAACATGGTATATATTTTTAACCCTTAAACATTTTTGAAACAATAAATGTCAGCAAACATTAAATTACTTCTGCTGTCTTAATTACTTTCAAAAACACAGATTTCTTTTCCACTTGAAAAAGGCATCTTTAATTATCTTTATTTTCTTTGGATATAAAGTCAGCCACTGTACTGTTCAGCTCTACAGCATGCTGTATGTTGGTTTATATTTGTTTTTCAGATGTTTCCTGAATCATAGACTGAAAAAAAAACTTAATAAAATTGTCTTGAAAACATAAAAAAACAACAACAAAACTTACAAATACCTTAATGGTATAACAGAAGCTATTAACTGTTTTAAAACCTTGACTTTTTAAAACCTTGACTTTTTCAAAACCGCGGTGAACTTTAATCAGTTAACCTAAACCAGTTATCATCCCACGCCTAGTCTCAATGTTAAAATAATCTTAGTGTTTTATTAAAGACTGTCTGATCCAAATCAGTGCAAGAGAGCGGAAGATTTTGAATAATTGCAAAAACCCTTATTCATTGATATCCTGCACTTAAACTGTAGATGCAAAAATAATCACTGTGCAAGCTGTAATATGCAGTATACAGCCAAATGAGAGCTGTTGCGGATTTTTTTACACTATCTTTAAATAATAACTCCCATCCCCCTGGAATATTGTGGGGGAAAATAAGTGTCTCTTATATATTTTCAGAGAAAATAAAAAATAAGTGTTTTTTTTTTTTTTTTTTTAAATATTTAACATCATATACTATTAAAACAAAGAAACCATATTGACCACAATTCTTCAAAGTTATGCCAAAGAATAACCCTCTTTTGGTTTTCCAAATAACTGTTTAGTGTACAGTTCTTCCTTTTTGGAATGAAATGTTTCATGGATGTTACCGGCTCTTCATAGAGCCATGGACTCCAATAAATAACATTTATTTTTAAGGGAATATGTCCATTGTTAATGTTCTCTATTTTCAAGCCCACCATTCAACAGCAATGGATTGATTCTAATTCACATTGTCTGTCTGGAATGTGACGCAGACGTGTTGCGGGTCATCTCTGCGTCTTCGTATGTAGTGCTGGAATCTCAGTCAGCCTTTTAAGAGCCGCTTCTGAGAAGCCAGAGCTGTAGAATGCAGATCGGAGACTTATGTGCGTGAGAAGCTCAGAGGCGTAACCTTGTGCCCCTCGGGCACAGGCCATTTTACTCAGCAGTCTGTTTACCTTCCAGCTGATTGTGCTTGAAGGTATAAGAAACTCTGCATGACAGTGCCTGGCATCTCTTCAAAGTTTGTGTGTGTGTGTGTGTGTGTGTTGGTAAAGTAATTGCATGTTTCAACACATCTCTCTCATCTTTCAATAGCAGCCTACAGTAAAAGTGATTCTTATCATTTGGCATGTGATAGCGCAGCTGAAAATTAAACACATTTACTCATCTTCGTGTTATGCAAAAACGGTCGAATAATTTATCATTCTGTCACGCAAACAAACAAAAACGACATTTCAATGAATGTGCTGGTTGCTCTTTTCCAGAAACTTACTATCATTTAGCTGAAAAAAAGTATTTGTGTATTGATATAAAGCATTGTAAATATACTAAATTACTAGAATGACCAAACAAAAATAAATGGAATATTAAAAATAAAAGACAACCGCACGTAATATTGATTCATATGTCATTTATTCATTAGATTTTGATGAGTACACTACTTACATTTGAAAGGGGAACAGCGCTTTAACGTTTTAATTAATCAAAATACAGCTCTTTTGTTTATTGAAATAATGATTAAAATCGAATAAGCTAAAGCTAAGAAATACTAATTAAAATTTAAAAAAAAAGGAAGAATTAAAGACTAGCAAGAACAGCAACACAAAAAAAAAGTGTATTCAAATCACCACATTGCTTCCTACAAAGAAAAAATAATAATAATACTATAGTCACTTTTTCTATAGATTTATCAGTGGGGACTTGTACTTTTTATATTATCTTATTATATGTTATCTTATTATATGTTATTTTTGTTAAACACACACACAAACTTGTTTGCTTATTGAAACAAAGCTGTAATAATAATAATAATAATAATAATAATATAAATAATAATAATAATAAAACATTTTAAATCTTGAACTTGAATTTATTGACAGTGTTATACAGTGCATCCGGAAAGCATTTATAGCACTTCACCTCTTCCACATTTTTTTATGTTACAGCCTTAATCCAAAATGGACAAAAATATACACTGTTAACCCTGGGACCTTATATAGATAGGTGTATGTCTTTTCAAGTCATGTCCAATCAACTGAATTTGCCACAGGGGAACTCCAATTTAGCTGCTGAAACATCTCAAGAATGATCAGTGAAAACAGAATGTACCTGAGCTCAATTTACAGCTTCACGCCAAAGGCTGTTAATACTTATGTACATGTGACATTTTTCAGGTTTCTTATTTTTAATAAATTTGCAACAATTTCAAAAAATCTGTTTTCACATTGTCATTATGGGGTTTTGTGTGTAGAATTTTATGAAAATAAATGAATTTAATCCATTTTAAAATAAGGCTGTAACATACAAAAATGTGGAAAAAGTAAAGCACTATGAATACTTTCGAGATTCACTGGCTCTTAACTGAAATAAAGTAAGTTTAAGATGAACAAAAAATACTGGCTAAATGAAAAGGTCACTTTACATTTGCCAAATAAAACATTCTTCTGTCATAAAAAAGTTCCTCTTAACTGTAAACAACAAAACATTATTATGAGTATAACCTGTTTTGTGACAGTATAAGTTCACCTATAAAATGGTTCATTAAACTAAACTTAATGAGCATGCAGTAGAGCATCATAAATGTAAAAATGTTTAAAATATATTTCATGTGCACTTCAAAAACCATGTGCTTCCACACACACACACACACACACCAACATTTCTTGCATGTTTCTTGGAAGGTTAAGGCTGTATTATAAATAAAACACAGCTATTGACCAATCAGCATAAAAGGCTGTAACTATTTATTTAGTAATGCTTACATAAAAACTATTTTGTTATGGATGTTTTACTTTATTAAATTAACTTGTAATAGAAAATTTTGAACTAACCAAAAAGTACAAACAATAATAAATAAAATATATTTTTAAAGCTATTTTCAGTTGTTATCTATGAAAAAATCATATATTGCATAAAAATATTGATTAAAATAATATTAATCATTTATTTACATTTAAATTATGAAATATTGAATTACAGTCATTTTAAATTGTAATCATTTATTAAATAATTCAATAAATTTTATTAAGTTTATTGATATTTTACATTATTTATTTTATAAAAGCTGAAATAAAATGTACGTATAACCAATTAACCAAACATATATTTGAGAAAAAGTATTTTAAATAAATGATCAGAATGTAAAACAACAACAGAGTTCAGACCTTGATGATAAAGATGTAGAGAAATAATATTACTAGGGTCACTTTCAAAACTTTTTTTTTTTACAACTTTTTTTCCCAGCTAGTAAACCAAAAAAAAAAAAAAAAAAAAACAGCCAGACAAAATCATTGAAATATATACCGGTAAAAAGACTTTTGTGGAGAAGTAACTCATGCAAGTTGCAAGCTGCCAAATTGAAGTGTAAAAATAAAGGTACCTCAGGTTTTTAGTGTAGCGTGTTGCTTTGAAAATGCTGGGTCAGTTGGCATTTCTGTGTCAGGTTTGCATGCTCTCCCCGTGTTCGCGTGGGTTTCCTCCAGGTGCTCCGGTTTCCCCCACAAGTCCAAAGACATGCTCTATAGGTGAAATGTGTAAGCTAAATTGTCGGTATGAATTATGCGTGTGAATGGAAGTGTATGGGTGTTTCCTAGTTATAGGTTGCAGGTGGAAGGGCATCCGCTGTGTAAAAAATATGCTGGATAAGTTGGCGATTCATTACGCTGTGACGACCCCATAATAATAAAGGGACTAAGCCCAAAAGAAAATGAATTAATGAAAATTCACTGCTTGATTAGATTGATTAAACAAGCTAGATTCCTCATAATAACACAATTTTTTTTTTTTCAAAAATATTGCAGCTCAAGAATCTTGTTAAACTCGTTTATTTAGTTTTTTTGGCAAGTTGTCTTTTCAGAGTTGTGGGAAAACTGTGTTGTTTGTTTTATCCAGAAAAGTAATTCTCTCAGCCTCATCTCACTATTTTATGTATCGTCGGAAAGGTGTCATACAAATTCTAATGATTTATTTTGTATGAAACAATTATTTTTAAAAGGAGGTGTGGCTACAAGCCCCATCCATATTACTTACTTCTCATTGGAGAAAAGCACATCATACTAAATAGTAAAAAAAATAAGAAAAACTAGTCACAAATCATAGTTACAAAATGGAGTCAGATTGGATGGATTTTATGGTTATCCAAAATTGTGCAGTTCTCCTTACATGTAAAACATGCCTTCGGATGATTTTCATGTAATAAAAAAGTGCTCATATTCCAAAACCACATTTCACAATCAAGTGTCTGTTATACTGTATATGGAGAGGAAAATCATCCTGTTTCCTACAGGTGGTTTGTCAAGCCCCTCATCTGAGTGAAACACTCAGAATTGCACAATCATTTCCCAGAAATGTGGTGACATTTACATGTCATAAATAAAGAGTAAATGACAGATTTAAAAAAATGTGACTGATTTATCTCTTTAAGACATCAGTTTCATAAATACAACACAAACAGCTGTAGTGGAATATAACAACTTTATTTTTTATATATGTAAAATGTTTAACCATAACAAGACGTATTCTCTCTCTCTCGGTTGAACAGGTTCAACATACAGTAGATAAAAAACAGAGCAACTACATAATTACACCGGTATCTCATCTGTACAAACCTGTCCCATGACGCCTCTGGCACAGACCTGCGCAAGGTATGACTGATGGAAGTACAAAAACTCATAACTTGAGCTTACGAGAACTCCTCTTTCCAGTGCACTGCTCAAAGAACTCCCAGTGCCAGTAATATAACAATCTCATCTGTATATGAAGTAGCATGCTTTTCACAAGTCATTTTTTGACCATGTGACTTTAAAATGTACATTTTTTGTGCATATATATGTTTACATTTTCCATAAAAATATCCCAGAAATATACCATATCAACTAGAAAATTATGTGACAATATAATTGTTAAAAAATGCCCATTACAAAAGCAAATACACATTTTACTTAAACTTCTATATGACATACTGCATAATCTGATAATGCGTAAAATATATAACTTGTCATTTATACACATTCCCACTGTATATTTTCTTTTAAACACACACATACATGAATGCCATATATATAACCACAAAATCTCTTACAATAAACAGTAAATGAAGCCCTAAATAGGTCAACCTTACTGTACAACACCCATATTATATTATGTATGCAGGATATATGCTTCCCCCTCTGCGTGTCTGTATACCATTACAGTTGTTGTGTCTTGAAAAACACAATGAGAAAACTCGTAAATATCATATCTGAGATACACTAAAGAATATTACTCATATCTATAACATAAAACATGCTGAATACCTTACTGGAAACAACTTAAAATCGCTCATGTACAACAAGACTACATTTTATTATATTGAAAAGCAAGACAAGACTGAGAAAAGCCAAAATCAGGGTCATACACATGACTGATTATTTATATAGGTTGACTCTGGTTACTATAAAACAGAATTAAGAAAATTCCTTTTTTTTTGGTTGTTTTAAATGATAATACTAATATTTAAAAGATTAATCCTCTTAAAAGTTGCCTGTAGATGATAGAGTAAAAGCTTATTGTTTAACATGCCATTCCAGTAAATAACACACTTATGTACACTGTACTGTTCTGACTAAAGTTTTGGATCAGAAAGCTTTTTTATTATTATGTTCACCAAAACTGAATTTGTTTAATCAAAGATGTTGTAAAATTAGTAACAATAGTTACAATTAAAACGTTTTATGTATTTTTTTAATATTTTAGATTTTAAAAAGTAATTTGGTTAAGCTGAAAGCTCAGCATTATATTATATTATATTATATTATATTATATTATATTATATTATATTATATTATATTATATTATATTATATTATATTATATTACATGACATTTTATTATATTATATTATACTAAATGCTACTCATTAGGAAACATCTGTGTTGTATTGTGCAAAAGCAAACTGCAATATCTGCATTTTTTTTGGTCAAAGTCATCTCCTAGAGCAGTGGTCACCAAACTTGTTCCTGGAGGGCCGGTGTCCTGCAGATTTTAGCTCCAACTCTAATCAAACACACCTGAACTAGCTAATCAAGGTCTTACTAGGTAAACTTGAAACATCCAGGCAGGTGTGTTAAAGCAAGTTGGAGCTAAACCCACAGGGACACCGGCCCTCCAGGACCGAGATTGGTGACCCCTGTCCTAGAGATTAGATGTAGTTTTAGAGTGTGTTCACGCTTGATGATCTTTTTTTTTTTTTTTTTTTTTTAGACCCAATAAAGAAAATCATATATTTAGATCTGGTTTGCTTAGCATTCACATATCTTTTTCTAAACATTCAATATAAAACTAAACATAACCAAGAAAAAGTTTTGAGCATTCTCTCCTGTTTATGCATGGTTCCATCTTAAATTTTTCTTTGGGACGTTTAAATATTTTCATCCGTTTTGGGTTATTATTCCAAAATTAATCTGGTAGTGGACTGAGACCCATCTATTAGCAGTCTCAGTCCACTCGTTTGGTGCTCACATTAGTTCAGGCATCAGTGTTTACACTTATCTAAATCAAAGTGGGGGTTGCGAAACAATGAAGGAATGTGGGAGGGGGATTACTTGGTGATTTCCAAAAACTATATATAGTTGTAGTCAGAATTATTAGCCCCCCTGAATTTCTGTTTAACTGAGAGTAGATGGTTTTTAACACATTTCTAATCATAATAGTTTCTATAACTCATCTCTAATAACTGATTTATTTTCTCTTTGCCATGATGACAGTAAATAATATTTAACTAGATGTTTTTCAAGACACTTCTATACAGCTAAAGTAACATTTAAAGGCTTAACTAGGTTAATTAGGTTAGTTAGGCAGGTTAGGGTAATTAGGCAAGTTAAAGTATAACGATGGTTTGAAAAAAAAAAATTTAAAAAGAATACAGCTTAAGGGGTTAATAATTTTGCTTTTAAAATGGTGTTTAAAAAAATAAACACTGCTTTTATACTAGCCGGAATAAAACAAATAAAACTTTCACAATATAATAAGACCTACTGTGAGAATTTCCTTGCTCTGTTAAACATCATTTGGGAAATATTTAAAAAAAGGAACAAAAAAATTCAAAGGGGGTTAATAATTCTGACTTCACCTGTATATGTTATTAATCCATTAGAATTACCATATTTTATTCATAACCTATAGAAGATAACAATATTACGCTATTACGATATTTATTAGTTACATAAAAAACAACAGAAATAAAAAGTCAGTTAATATTAAATTAAACAATTGAATAATGACTTAAAAAGGCTATGGTTGTTAGACTGTTGCACTTTTTTGTGTTGTCAATATGCTCGTGTTTATATAATTCCTATTGGTGTATGTGCACCATTGTGTGCAATGTTTGTATGTTTAGAATCACCTTCGAGGATATTGGGGCTCGCGAATCACTGGTTATTTTGGGGGTTGACCCCTGATATAAATGACCGATAATAAGAGGTGATTGCACTAGCATTTGTTTAAATCAAATCAATCCTGATATATGTGAACACACCTTGATGAATAAAACCATACAAAAAGACACAGTTACTGCATTTTGCCATTGTATATTAGTACAAATAACACTATTTCCTTAATATCTTAACTATTTGCTCTTGGAGCAAATAGGAACCGTGGCATTTGATCAACTTGAAGGTCTTACCACATTTGTAATCCCCTTTAAAACATTTTGCTACTCAAGCATAGCTAACAGTGGAAGTTTCACAGAAACCAGCTAATGGGCAACCATTTTGTGTTTGCGCAGCGATAAACCTCGATTCTCACCTGAACGCTGAACAAAACTTCTGGTTGCATAATACATAGCTTTACCATGCCACGAAGATGTTCCTAATCCTCTTGATTATGTGTACACTATCTTCAATGGCAGATTCAAGCTTGTATTCACTCAAAAACATTTACCGTCAGTTAAAAGCACTGCCTAGCATTACAAACAACTCTTGCTAGAAGCAGACCCATGTGGCCGAACATGCTTCTAAATCGGGTTGTTGCTGGCCTGAAAAACAAGAAACCATTAATAATTACATTAAAGACCTGCTGTAAACAAAGCGTGTCTGAAATACTATGCTACATAGTTGAAAAGCATCAGTTTAGCACCACTAAAACCATCAGTCATCTAATTCTAATACATCTCTCACATCTTGATTTCATTAAAAGACTGCATGTTCATATTTGAAATATTTAAATTGCTCTGAGGCAACCCTGATGTTGTGGGAAAAAAGAGCAGATTCTCACCGGAGCATGTAAGTAGCTCTCCATCTGAAGGAGGCACTCGAGGGTCTCCATCATCTGCTCTTTGCGAAGGCTGTGTAGTTTGACCTGTCCCACAGACTCGCAGAGCTCCAGCTGCTGCACCGTGTGTTTCAGAGCCACTGCTGCGCATTGCAATGCACTGAGCCCTGCCAAAACAACATCTGCATAGTTAATCCCTGCTCTCCTCACACGTGACAAATGTGCCTTTAATTAGTCATTTAGCAAGCGCTTTGATCAAAAAGCACTTGAATGGGAAAGCTCATAGATTAAGCCAGCATCTAAAATTAATGCGGACTGGATGGCAACTTTACTACAGCATGTTGCATCATTTATATTGCAAGAGCTGACTATTTCTCTTTTTCATCTGACATACAAGTACTGTGCTAAAATGACCATCTATCTTTAATCATTATCACTATTTTATATATATATATATATATATATATATTTATTTATGTATTTTTTATATATATATATATATATATATATATATATATATATATATATATAACATACATGTATACAGTTGAATTCAGAATTATTAGCCCCCCTGAATTATTCGCTCCCTGTTAATTTTTTTTTACCCAATTCTATTTATTGGAGTAAAGATTTTTTTTCAACACATTTCAAAACATAATAGTTTTAATAACTCATCTCTAATAGCTTTTTTATCTTATCTTTGCCATAAGGACAGTACATAATATTTGACTAGATATTTTGAAGACACTTCTATACAGCTTAAAGTGACATTTAAAGGTTTAACTAGGTTAATTAGGTGAACTAGGCAGGTTAGGGTAATTAGGCAAGTTATTGTATAACATTGGTTTGTTCTGTAGACAATCAAAAAAATAATGAGCTTAAAGAGGCTAATAATTTTGTCCCTAAAATAGTTTTAAAAACTTAAAAACTGCTTCTATTTTAGCCGAAATAAAACTTTCCCCAGAAGAAAAAATATTATCAGACATACTGTGAAAATGTAACTGCTGTTAAACATCATTTAGCAAATATTTAAAAAAGAATTCAAAGGGGGCTAATAATTCTGACTTCAACTGTGTGTGTGTGTGTGTGTATGTATATATATATATATATATATATACACATACACATACATATATATATATATATATATATATATAGTATAAATACTGTATATATACTGTATATACAAACATACATATATACATACATACATGCATATAGCCAAAATTCTTGATAAAGTTCTCTACAAAATTAGCAAAAGTTTATTATATAATGTCATATGTTATATGGAAGTTAAATCCTGCCAATTTTAAATAAATCAAATAAACATTGTAAATTAAAATAAAAATCAGATTAACAATTTCATTTTAACACTGTTCGCAAAATATCTGCCAAAATTGAAACACATTGTCCCTGTCAAATCGATAAATAAAATTAATATTTTGCCAATATTAAAATGAAAAGCCAAACTGAAGATAAAATGCAAACACAATTTTTTTTACAAAGCGTGTTATTGATATTCACACTGTTAGTTACCCAATTCAAATGAAAATGTAAATTTAAGCTTTCCTTTTATTGACGCTTTTATTTTAGTTTTCATTTTCAATTTTGGCAGATAGTTTGCGAACAGCGTTTTAAAATGATATTGTTAATCTGGTTTTCATTTTAATTTTCAATGTTTGCTTGATTTATTTAAAATCGGCAGGATTTACCTTTCATAATATTAATGTATTTTTTGTTTAGAATAATACTTATTTTAGATATTATTTATTATTAAGTTTGCATATGTATGTGTGTAAAATGTAGCTATAGTGTGAACACTGAAAGTGCAAAAACTTTCATCTCTCCATCGGAAATATTTTATTCCTTTATGAATTTAAATATCAAACCTATACATTTAGGCTCAGTAGTTTCATATTCATTGCAATGAAACAAATGGATGCATAGTGAAAATTCATAGTAGTTTTAAATTATTTTATAAATAGTTTTTGCTTTACAATTATGCAAAAAACTTGATAGAGTTCTTTAAAAATATATTTGGTGAATGCAAAATAAACATAAAAAGCATTTAAATGCTTACGTTTATGTATTTCTGAAAATGTCATGTATTTTTAAGGCACAAAACATAAGCCATGCCAACAAATTGTCAGTTTTAGCTCCATTAAACCCCATTATTTTAACGCATCTTATTTGTAATGCATTTTGTCATTACAATACACAGTAAAATGGGACACCCCTTTCACAACAGGTTTATAAAATGACTAACATGGCTGGATGCGTATATGGTGTCAGCAATAGGTATTCAGCCACAGCCTTACTTGAGAAAAAAAAAACGTAAAAGATATTTGGAAAATGTTCAGATGACTTTACGGAAGTGAATGGAGCAATAACTGGTTCTGTGACAATCACTGACCTTTTCATTTACCAGCATAAATAACATACAGACATGTAGCCCTACCATTCGCATCTCTTTCCTCCAAATTCAAATACATGCCATTCTTCATTAAACCTCTCAGGATCTGTCAGAAAAAGAATTAAATTTTTCAAACAATGACAACAAGCAGGTTCTGTACGCTAATATCCCAGCACCACACAACAAATGTACCTCCATCACTCGAATATAGCCATTCTCTGCACTGAGATGGAGGCAAGTTTTCCCATATCGCTCTTTCGCATTGATATTTGCGCCAAGTGACACCAAATCAGCCACCATGAAGTGTTGATTCTTCTGTGCAGCGAGATGAAGGGGAGTCTGGAAAGAAAAACAGGCCATGCAACATTTATGTGTTTGTTGAGTGACTGAGAAACACTCAGAGAAAATGCATGTGTGATTGTTTGTCACCTTTCCCTCTGAATCTTTGATATCTAGTTTCTTCAGAGATGCCATCCTTCTGGCAATAACATACACAAGGGATCTCTTTCCCTCCATCACAACCCTGTGTAAAAGACTGTGGAGAGAGCATGAAAGAAGTCATTTTCCGTCGCATGATTTGTGAGCCTTTCAAAGTCATAGAACCACTAATTGTAAACAGTGGTGTTCTTTGGGTGGAGTGCAACAGGTTTGTTCCACCAAAATGAAAACCTTTTGATGTGTTTGACGACATTGTCATTTCAATTGGTGTAGTCTTTCAGGATGTTTGTCTAGTTAGTGTACACTGCCATTTTAGTAACCACTGCTTTAGGGCATGTACAACGATGTACTAAAAACAAAATGTACATTACTGACAGTGCGGTCAAAACAATCCTCACTGAAAGTTCTGCGAATATGACTAAAAGTGATGTATGATGTATGCTAGACCAGAAAAGAAACACTTGGTGCATTCCAAGTGATATACTTGGAGTGAAAACAATCATGGTGGCCATGTTGATATGCCACTTCGAAGATATTTTTGTAGGGTACAATTCAATGGTAGTTTTACATAGGGATGTTTGGTGTCACAATCAAAAAAGCTCACCCTCATATGCCCTAATCCCTTTAAAATGAGAGAATAAACACTTCAAAGAGATTAGCTCTTCCAATTGCAGTGACTATGTACTTGTGCACATTGTAGGCCGCCGCTTTTGATTTAGTTGCCAAATACTTGAACATACCCAAAGTCTGAACACTTAAATTCAAATTTGTTCTTGTAAATAACACTGCCACATTAATGGTGTAATTTCAATAATATAATAGATAACAGTGTCATTTTTAGTCTCCAAAATGACACTGTTATGTGAAGTTTATTCATAAACTAATTTCGAGAAAATCAAGTGCTTATGATTGCTTGCGACTGATCCCACATTATTTAATTTATGATTCATCAATCAAACGATTGCTAAGCCACTATAAATACCCTACGTTCCATATAACAGCCATCTTCATTTTGAAGAATCCCCCCTTCCACCCCTACTCCTCCTTTCCTAGATGGGTGGCATGGTGGCCCAGTGGTTAGCACTGTTGCCTCACAGCAAGAACATCACTGGCTCTAGTCCTTACCAAGCAAGCTGACGTTTCAGCTTACATGTTCTCCTCGTGCTCACATTGGTTTCCCCAGGGTTCCCTGGTTTCCTCCCACCGTCCAAAAACATGCAATTTCAGTTAATTGACTAATCCAAATCAGCACCATAGACATGCTCCTAGTAAGTAGTTATCTCTTAAGAGCAATCACTATCTGTTCATTAGCCACTACAGCAGGGGAGTTCTCGAGATCTACCTCAGCTCAAACTCCCCTCTCGCTCGCCTTGCAAATGGGAGGGAGCCCCGGGCTCGAGGATCTTATGAGCTCAGGGCTCTCTGCCGGGACAGGATGGCAAACAGGCTTCACAATCAATCATCAGCTAAGTGTGAACATTTGAATTTATATTATTGAAAATTATAAACAATCACAAAAGTCATTAGTCTCCAAAATGACGTGGTCATTTAAATTAGCCGCCAGAATGAGTATAAAGTTTTCCATTTTAGTTTAAATCTGGGTCTCATAGCAATTTCTTCATGCAAAAGGCTTTTTGTTGTAGATTCTATGCATCATTTGGTTGGTGCTGAAATGCTTCAATTTTCAGCTGAGTTCCCATGCGAGCCATTAATCTCTTTTATTCTGCCCTGCTTCAGAAGTTAATAATGGGGTTTGTCATAAAGTTGGGAGTGAAAAACTAATGTAGCCGCTTATTGAACGGGACAGCGACGATGGCAGACCCAATTTTATTCTTTCTGTGTTTCATAAAAAGTTTCAAATGATAAAGGTGGCTCGGTACTTAAAGATTGTTTTTGGAAACTGTGTGCATTTTCTTCATTTTTATAAATTACAGCCGCACTTTGAAAGAATATCCATTTGTATGTGTATGAAGAAACTATCTGCAATGACTTCCTGAAAAGTAAAATGATCTTACGTTCTGCCGTCTTCACCAACAGCAAGAAGTTCTTGGTCAGAAATCTGCTGCAGCACATGCTCTTCTCTTTCCATTTGTGTGCAGTAGAAGGTCATATCACTCATCTCCTGCTGAGAATGTGGCCATAATGCATAGTTCCACTTTTGAGAAGAAACCTCCCAGGTTTCTGGATTGGGACTGGAATTGAATGATTCTTGTGAGGAGGGCTCCTGGTATTCCTTTGAATTGGCAGGAGAGTAGCTTGTACCATAGAGATCATCATACATGTACTTATCCGACTCATAACTGCTGTATTCTTCCTGATTCCCCAAGAAGGCATCTCCACCATGGCTGTAAGTTGGCGATGGGTAGGAGCTGCACACAGAATGTACAGGTGATGTGCCTGAGGGTACAGAGTAGCTTGGAGACAGAGGTTTTTCATTCTCCTGATAACATGGGCTCATGAAACCCTGCTGCAAGGCATCTTTAAAACAGAACTTTGTAGAGTATGAAGGTGAATTGCTTTGGTTTGGTGGCTTGTACGACTGACAGGTCTTAAGATCCTCTTCCAGTACTTCCACAATAATAGCCAGATCCTCTAGATCCTTTGTTTCATGTTTCGTCTGTAAAAGGTACAAAACATGTCAGAATCTGCTATGAGCTAGATAATAGTTCCAAAGAAGACATTAAATAAAGCTAATAGCAATCAGACGTCACTTACCAGAATACGCCTCCGGTTAGCACTTGTGTTAACTCGTTTCTTATCCCCTTTAAATACAAAGACATTTCCAATTATAACTGCAATGTGGTTAAAACTATGCCAAGACAAGTATCAAACTCACCTTTAGATGACTTGCATTTTCCCTGAAAAATAAACAAACAAACTTCAGGCCATAAGCATCAAAACTGCCAGACACTATAAAACACTGTAAGATAAGAAATCATACCTGCAGATCATTAGGGTCAATACCCTTGGCTATCCTTATATTTCTTAGCATGTCACGTACTGGCATTCTCACTTTAACTCCAAGGTATTTCTTTTCAGGTGTGGACTTGTGTTTTTTGGGTCCTAAAGTAAAAAAAAGCTTGTTAGCAAAGCAGCAATTTAATGGTGACAATAGCCCAGTCGAATTTATCGCTTGCTCCCACAAGGTAAACGTTGGTGCACTATTCTCAAAATCTGGCATATAATAAGAAAAACTATAGTAATTTATAGTAAATAATTTAGGGTTTTTGAAAGTACTTTGAAACTACAGTTGCTGTGGTAATATAAATATAATAATATAAGTTAATGACCCAATACTGAACTAAGCGTTATATAACTATAGTGTATAATATACTACGCTATTTACTGTAGTAAAAACTATAAGTATACGACTGTATTTATTTGTTAAAACTGCAGTATGATGGAGCATTTATTAAAGTGTTGTAAAAACTGTAATATATACAGTATACTGCATTTTACTGTAGTATACCCGTGTCTCTGTGACACTTTTTTGTAAACATTTTTTATTCTTATTTATTCGTATGTTTAGGATATTCCAATGTGTAATCAAGAAGTTAAATTACTAGCCTATAAATAATCTTAAGAATAAAATATTCTGTGTTCTTGAAAGTGTAAACTTGATTTACTATACTGTTAAATCGTCATACTGTCTGGCATTATATAATGACTGGCATAAAATAGTCTGAAATTACAATAATATTGTTTATTACAATTAGATAGATAGATAGATAGATAGATAGATAGATAGATAGATAGATAGATAGATAGATAGATAGATAGATAGATAGATAGATAGACAGACAGACATCACAGTAAATTACATAGGACTATACAGTAGTTTATACTATACAGTTTAAGCCAGCCAACTTTCTTTCTCACCAGCTAAGACCACCAACTTTTCCCCAAAGCAGGGAAATCATAATGAATATCTATTATTTTTACTTTTTATGGACAGTGTAATTCAGAAATGTTGTACTAACCTTTTCGGCTGCTGTTCCCTGACAGGTTATGGGTCTGCATGGTTAGATTCGGTCCGTTTGCACGTGTAGAAGGTTCTGTTGTCATCTGCGACCCGTCACACGAATATTCGCGGTGTTCACAGTTTTTAGGAATCAAATTCCACCCTGTACCCTCTGCCTGACTGCTCACCATCCTGTTGTCCTGTTATAAATCTGACTATAAAGTGCAAAGCGTTCAGACTTATGACAACAAACGCAAAACAATTGTGTAATAAAGGGCTTAGGCTCAGTGCCTGCCAGTCTTCATGCAACAAGTGTGTCATGTGACGACAGCGGCGTGTGTTTTCAGTACCTGACTGGATGAGGCGTGACATGCTAAACACCTGGCGCTGCGTTCAAAACATCATGTAGCGCCCTATGAAGGGCACTTCTTAGTGAATGCAATAATCGTCGCCATATTGAAGTCTAGTTAAAAGAAGTGCTTAAAACAGGCCACTTCCAAGGGCCCTTTGGAATTAGGGATTTTGAAGGCCTGGCGGACACTTCGGACCGGTCCTTTGAGCAGGAAATATGAATATGTTTGGTTTGGTGTCACTGCCTTCAGTACGGATAGACTCAACCCTAAACTCTAATCCCTTCAGAGGGACCCTCCGAAAAGATTAGGCAGGGATGAGACTTTCCGACTGGAACCAGCACCATCTCAACTTAACCAGTTTAGCATGTGAAAACAGTGGAGCAATGCAGTTATGTCAAGAAAGAGCTCATATCCAGTACAATGCTCACTACGCTTGAGTTTCATGATAAATAAAAACTATATAGCCTAAATAAATAAATATTTAAAATATTTTTTTTAAGTTCAAATCTTCTTTGAAACAATAAACCTGAGTAACTAACAGAGAAAATAACGCTGCAGGTGCTGATAAACTTGAGCAGACCAAAACGGGCGATTGTTTGTTTCATGCTCTCTCGTGCGCTGCATTGCTAAACTGAGATCATACACTGACATCTACCGGCGACACAAACACAGACACTGTACAAAACGACTCCCTCGATGTTTTATTAGCCTACCTCTGCGATACTATGACAAGTATGTAAAAGGAGCAGTAAAAAATGTAATTTTATGTGACGTAGTATACAGCTAAATTTTATTTTTTATTTGCACATAAATAATTGTTCTGTTTTGCAGCATCACTTCTTATGTTCATCATACTAATAAATAAATAAAAAAATCAAGCAAATATATCATCCACATACATTTCACACTTTTTTTAGGCAGTAACTGTACTGGCCATGTGGCCAATCGCATCAAAACTAATATTGTTATTTAAATATGAGGTTATCAGATAATGTTAACAGACCAGATTGTCTTAACCTAAAACTCTGGTCTAATCTACAATTATGTTTTCATTTTTTCATTCATTCATTCATTCATTCATTCATTCATTCATTCATTCATTCATTCATTCATTCATTCATTCATTTTATTTTCGGCTTAGTCATTTTATTAATCTGGGGTCGCCACAGCGGAATGAACTGCCTATGTTTTCAATAATAAAAAAAAATGTTACAAATATTTAAAAGGTTTAATAATTGAAAAAATAATTTATTCCTGTTATAAAATTTGTATTTTCAGCATCATTCAGCTTTCAGGACTTAAGAGCCACATGATTCTTCAGAAATTATTTTAACAATGATTTGCTGCTCTATTATGATCAATTATAATTGGTGCTCAATCATTAACAAAAAGTTCTTATTATCATTTATTATTCATCCATTCATATTCGTTTCGACTAAGTCCCTTTTGTTAACCAGGGGTTGCCACAGCGGAATGAACTGCCAACTTATCCGGCATATGTTTTACACAGCGGATGCCCTTCCAGCCGCAAACCATCACTGGTAAACACCCATACACTCTTGCATACACACACATACGCTACAGCCAATTTAGCTTATTGGTATGCTTTTAAATATAAGTTAATGTTACTTGGTTTCCACAAATATTATGCTTTACAACAATTTTTAGTCTTGGTAATACATTTTTCTTGAATTAGCCTATTTGAATTGGTTCTGAAGGAGTATATGGGGTCATAGGGTGAAATGCAGACAGACAAGCACTTGAGTTTTAATGAAAAAAACCTGTGATATACTTATTTTAGTAAATAAATAGCAAATGGATTCTGAGATTTTGTTTAGGCTTATCTTAGTTAAACAACATATTTTAACAAAAAGAACTCGGCTCCAGTTCTCATGGTTACATTTTTTAACATTTTAAATAAAATTGATTGGCCAACTTTAATACAATCGTTGGATTTGTCCATATTTACCTAAAATTGGTCTGATTTTACCACTTTTAGAATCGTAACCATAGCTTCAGCATTACTGTTCCACTAGGAATGTATACATTCATTCATTTATTCATTCATTCATTTTCTTTTCAACTTAGTCCCTTTATTAACTTGGGGTCACCACAGCAGACTGAACCACCAACTTATCCAACATATGTTTTACCCAGCGGATGCCCTTCCAGCTGCAACCCATTACTGGGAAACATCCATTCATACTCATTTACACTCATACACTATGAACAATTTAGCCTACCCAATTCACCTATACCGCATGTCTTTGGATTGTGGGGAAAACAGGAGCACCCGGAGGAAACCCACGCGAACGCGGGGAGAACATGCAAACTCCACACTGAATCGCCAACTGACCCAGCCCAGGCTCAAACCAGCAACCTTTTTGCTGTGAGGCGAACGTGCTACTCACTGTGCCACCGTACAGCCCTGTTGGATTCATATTAAAGCTAATTTATGTTAGATTTTAAATGAACACAAACACAGTATAAGCACAGTACATCCAAGCGCAATTTGATTAGTATTATGCATTGCCAAGCAGTAGACAGCTTTAAAGGTGATATTCCAAGTATTTGTTTTAAATATATTTTTGAACCCTCCGATTTTAGATTTTTAAATGGTTGCATCTCAGCTAAAATTGCCTTATACTAACAGTGTCCTTCAACAGGAAGCTTATTTATTCAGATTTCATGTGATTTATGAATCTCAACTGATACACAAGACAATAAACTGACACTTATGACTGGATTGTAAAGAACCACACTTTGCAAATAGCACATGGCCTTATTAGTGTTATAAATAAAGTTAACTTTTGGCTTTTTTAATTTACTTTATTAATTTGTTCTTTTAAAGCTTTGCAGCATTGTGGTGGTCCATCACCGATATATACATATACATATATATATATATATATATATATGGGTCTATTTGAAATCTTAGAATCTCTATTTTCTACTTTACTTTGACATTTATGTTACTGTAGGAAACATATTTACAATTAAATGTATAGACAACCACACAAAAAATGGTATTACAGTAATTTAATTGCAATATCCCCTGCACACTACATGACACAGACAAAAATAAATGTGTCTGGTGACATCATCTATCAAACAAAACTGATTCAAGAGTTCACACTTAAATATTGCTTGATAATGATCGCATGTTGGGCATGCTGTCCCAGGAGAGAACCCTGAGCTTAGAATAATCCGATTTGCTTATTAATGATTACAGATGAGAGATCAGCCTTGATCAATCATACCATATGCTCCTCTCGAAATTTCTTTGTGAAACTTCACCTAATTTGCTAGAGCACACAAAACAAAAAATATATATAGCACCTATTATTTAGGTCAATTTTTTCCTGTTTGCTGACAAGCTGGAAACAAACACACATGACTGCAGGGTGCTGGAGCACACAGGGCTTGAGTTAACATGTCCAACATTTTCATTTATGAAAATAATATAATCCTTAAAAAAAAAAAAACTATTTTAGTTTTTCTTTTTTTTAACCTCACAATTTCAAGCACTTTCAACACTTTTTTAAAGGTTTCCTGTAAAATGACACTAAAATGTAGAAGAATTGAGGTGGAAAACCCCCAAAAGCTTGTCCAGCATTACATGATTATATCTGTATCAACAGAGACTGTTTCGCAATCATTTCTGTGTCTCTTCCAGCAGAGAGTGCAAATCACTCTTCTGAGCCCTCACATGAGCTCAACACTGCCATTACTACTGGACGCTGGAGGGCAATAATGGAGGTCTTAAACTCCATTGATGAGCAGCCTGAATATGATTTCTCTTCAGTTCTGTGAAGTAACGGATTAACCCATTCACTCGAGTGCTTCACTGAAGAACACAGAGCTGTAGAAACATTGAGCTCCTTTGTCTGCTGTGAGTTAATGGACCTCACCTAAACCCGGATCCGATCCCCAAAGGAAAAACCTGTTCCTGCTGACTCCCCTTTGGGACCACCTTCCTTTGCTTGCTGGGTCCCAAAAAAAGAAAAGCTCATCATCCCTGAGTAATGCAGCATGTGTACAAAGTTGCTATTGGGGATGCCTGTGCCTGCATTGCCCTCAAAAGTATGACCCATGCCAGCAAAGTCTCTAGAGAGATCTGCTGCACCTGTGCCAGAGGTAATGGGCTTCTCAAATGAAGCACCCATGCCTGGATCCAACCAGATCCAGATACAATTTTATTGTCCATTTTCAATTAGAAAGCCAAGCAACATCTCTCTGCAATATTGATGCTTTACAACCATATATGCCAACAAAGAACTTAAGAGTGTATCTGCAGCAGAGTCTAAAGTGATTAAAAGCTTTTCAGCATGTCAAAAAGACACATATAACCGTATTGAGCAGTTGCTTACCAACATCGAATAGTTCAGACTGCTGAGCGAATCACTGGTACTACCCTCCTCTCCAAGAACTGTACTTATCCAGAGCAAGCAGAAGGGCTGCCAAAATCACTCGGGACCTCTCACACCCAGCATTCCGCCTCTTCGAACTTTTACCTATTGGTTGGCACTGTGCACAAGAACAACCTGACAGTTTCTTCCCTCAGCCAGTCCATCTCATCAACACCATATAACATTGTGAAGCAAACATGTCTCCTTTTTATACACAGTTTTTATTTATTGAACAACATACTTTACAATTTGTACATACAGCTGCACATTTAATGTTGTATACTGTAGTAATAAACACTTTTCAATTTATATATGCATTCACTACTTGAGTCATTATCACTATAAAATGCCTTTGATGTCCCACAAGATTGAATCAGTCCCATATGAACATTATGCAAAATAATGAAATTTTGATGTTTTAATATTGTTGGTTAAACCTTTACACACATGCAGGTAGAATTATATGTGTTTTGAAATATGCTTTTGTCAATTTTTGTCATATTCTTTCATTGAATGGATGTGATTTGGCTATGTACAACACACTGCTTAACCAACTT